TCCCCCGTGTTGTACCCCACTAGACAGAATCAGCCATTCAGAGTGGAGCCAGGCTGTGGTTTATTGCTCCCAGGACAGGATCTCGGGGACAGAGTTGCCAGCAGCCGCAGGGGGCCCGTCCCTGGGGCTCGCCGGTCGGGCTCAGATGGATGTGCTGTTCTCAATTTGGTGGGGATCCAGGTAGCGGTAGGGGATGGGCAGGGATTTGTTCCTCTCTTGGATCTCCTGGGAGATCTGGGCCAGGCGCCCCTGGAAGGCTGCAATCTGCCGCTTGGGCTCCTCCTCCGTGAAGTGCTCATCGGAGTATGTGCCCAGGGATCTCTGCAAGGGAATGGTAGAGCGGTGAGGTACAGCACAGAAGGGCTCCCTCACCTTGTGCTGAGATGCAGCCACCTCTGGGGCGGGGCAGCCGGTTACACAAGGATCTCTCATGTGCCCTAGAGCACAGGGCAGGTGTTTAACAGAACTGTAGCAAAACTGGGAAGGGTTCAGGCCAGGGAGGGAAGGAGAATCCTGCAGCCGGTTGAAACAACAGGGCATCCCCCAAAGTGCAACTGGGCCAGGACACCCCGGTTCATCCCCTGGCTCAGGTGAAATGTCAGTGGGTCCTTTATTGCTACCACAAAGGAGGGGACGGAGAAATCAGCGGAACGGCTCATTCAACAGACAACCGCAGCCCATTGCCCCCTAGCGCCGCCCTGGGGCCACCCCTGCCTGCCAGGGGAGATCACCTCCTGCTGAACCCCCTGCCCCACTCCCTGCCACACAGCGCCCCCTAGTGTCACCCTGGGGCCAGCCCTGCCTGCCAGGGGAGAGTGCCCCCTGCTGAGCTCCCTTCCTCGCTCCCTGCCCCACAGTGCCCCCTAGTGCCACCCTGGGGCCAGCCCTGCCTACCAGGGGAGAGTGCCCCCTGCTGAGCCTGTGCCCTGCTCCCTGCCCCACAGTGACCCCTAGTGCCCATGTTCTCACCGAGTCTCCCGGCTCGCAGCAGAGGACCCAAAGGGTGAAGATGATGTGGCTGGTGCTGTTGACCTCCGGGATGGTGTCCAGGTAGCTCTCCAGGGAGGTGGTGCCCTTGGCCTGGGGTGGGGGGTTCCTCATGGAGGACGGGAAGTTGGGCATCCAGGCACCAAGGTCATACTGCGGCCCAGAGAGACCCCCCACAGTCAGAGCAGCCAGGGACCCCCTACCAGCTCAGCTAGGGACCCCACCCCCCAGCCCAGCCCAGGGGACACCAGCACAGGGAAGGTCTGGCTCAGCCAAGGGATCTGGGCGTCACAAGGAACATAGAACATAGAATATCAGGGTTGGAAGGGACCTCAGGAGGCCATCTAGTCCAACCCCCTGCTCAAAGCAGGACCAATCCCCAGACAGATTTTTGCCCCAGACCCCTAAATGGCCCCCTCAAGGATTGAACTCACAACCCTGGGTTTAGCAGGCCAATGCTCAAACCAGGGCTTGGTCACAGTCTCACCCATGTGCAATGGTTAGGAAAGTCAAAGTGGGGGTCGGGGGTGCTGGGACAGGATCCAGAAGTGTCCAGGGTCTCACTGGGGTTGGGTGCTGGGTGGGGGATTGGCTGCTAGAGCAGGGTTGTCATAACTATAAAGGGAAGGGTAACAGCCATCCTGTGTACAATACTATAAAATCCCTCCTGGCCAGAGACTCCAAAATCCTTTTACCTGTAAAGGGTTAAGAAGCTCAGATAACCTGGCTGACACCTGACCCAAAGGTCCAATAAGGGAACAAGAAACTTTCAAATCTTGGTGGGGGAAGGCTTTTGTTTGTGCTCTTTGTTTTGGGGGTGGTTTGCTCTTGGGACTGAGAGGGTGCTCCAAATCTTTCTGAACAAGTCTCTCATATTTCCAACTTGTAAGTAAACAGCCAGGCAAGGCGTGTTAGTTTTTATCTTTGTTTTTTCAACTTGTAAATGTACTTTTTTGCTAGAGTGTTTATCTCTGTTTGCTGTAACTTTGAACCTAAGGCTCGAGGGGATTCCTCTGGACTCTTTAACTTTGATTACCCTGTAAAGTTATTTTCCATCCTGATTTTACAGAGATGATTTTTACCTTTTTCTTTAATTAAAAGCCTTCTTTTTAAGAACCTGATTGAATTTTCCTTGTTTTTAGATCCAAGGGGGTTGGATCTTGATCCACCAGGAGTTGGTGGAAGGAAGGAGGGGGGATGGTTAATTTCTCCTTGTTTTAAGATCCAAGGGGTTTGGATCTGTATTCACCAGGGAATTGGTGAAGAGTCTCTCAAGGCTACCCAGGGAAGGGAATTAGCACTTCGGGAGTGGTGGCAGCGGACCAGATCTAAGCTGGTAGTTAAGCTTAGAAGTTTCATGCAGGCCCCCACATTTGTACCCTAAAGTTCAGAGTGGGGAAGCAGCCTTGACAAGGGTCCTGGGGATTGAGGTGTCAGTGGGGTGGGAGACAGGGTGGGTGTGTCAGTGGCTGGACCCCAGGGACCCATGTTGGGTGCAGGGAGGGGGTGTCAGTGGCTGGACCCCAGGGTGCTGTGGGGGGCAGGGTGGGGGTGTCGGTGGCTGGACCCCAGGGCCCCGTGGGGGGCTGGGAATGGGGCCCTGAGCACCCAGGCTGGCCTCTCCCTACCTGTCCGTTGTTGACGGCGGCGTGCCGGGCCGAGCAGCAGTAGATCCACATGGTCAGGTACTTGATGAGCTCGGGGATGCTCTGCAGGGACGAGGGGAAGCCTGCGGGATGGAGAGTGCACATCACTGTCCTGGCCCAGCCCTGCACTGCCTCCCTCCGCTGCTCTGGGCCTCAGCTTGGCCATGTGCCATCTTCCCCCCCTTGCCCATTCCCACAGTGGGGCCATTCCTAGTTACCCTATGGCCCCATCCAACCACCGTGACCCAGGCCACCCTGTTCCTGCAGGGTCGGACACCTTGCTCCCCGTCCGGGGGTTATGACCCCTGCCTGCAGGGCCAGTTGATATGAGCTGGGATCTGGCCCCATTGACTCCAATGGAGAGACGCCCATTGACACCAGCTGGGATCTGGCCCCATTGACTCCAATGGCGAGACGCCCATTGACATCAGTCGGAATTTGGCCCCTTGACTCCAATGGGGAGATGCCCATTAACACTAGCCAGATTCTAGCTGACAGTCGTTCAGCCTCCTGAATCATGCAGTCCAGAGATGCCCCCCAGTGGCCCCCGTATGGAGCCTGGTGACCAGTGGCTACAGAGCTCTGGGTTCACATGGTCCCTACCAGATGCCTCGTTCCCCAGGAAGCCTTCACGAAAGATCTCGTCTGCCCAGGCCTGCAGCTCGCAGTCGGCCAGGACGTGGGCATCGCTGTGGTAATGGTGTCTGACGATACCGGAGACGAAGCTGGAAAGAGCAGAGATGTGTCAGCCTGGATGGGTCGATGCCGGCCTCATCGCTTCCTAGTGCACCAGCGTCATTCAGTCAGTGACTGCAAACAGCCCAATGCCACCATGCACCCTTGCCGGTACCTAGTGTCCCCTCCACTTCGCCCTTTCCTAGCTGTGGGAGCATGGCCTGGTGGCTAAGCCGCTGGCCTGAACTCCAGGTGATCCTGGATCTCGTTTACGGCAGAGTTGAACTTTTCATTTCAAATTGGACTTGCTCTTGTGGAAGTTAATACGTTAAACAAGAGTCGCCACTGGCACAAAACGTCTTGGCTTGATTGAAACCAAGTGTTTCCATTCACCCCCAATGTGATCTTTCCCCAGAAATTGGGTTGGAGCAAAATTGCTAAAAATTTGACTTTTCCTCTCAATTTTTGTGTATTTACAAATTTTCATTCATTTTTCCAATGCCAACCAATCTACCACACAAAGTAAATAACGGGGGTTAGGTTAAAGGCAGGGGAGGGGATGTGACATATCTATCTTCAGGGTCTACATTGATCATAGACCTCTAATAAGTCAGCCCAAATTGCTTTGAATTTTTTGGGCATTCCCTTTCTCCGGAATGCCAGCCATTCGTTGGCTGAGTGATCAGCCAGATCACCAAGCCAGGCATCAATGTTTGATGGGGGTTGACTTTTCCATTTTGGTAGGATTAATTTTTTAGTGCCCAAAGCTGCCTGTTGGGATCATGCTGCCTTGTTACCAGGGAACCTTCAGGTATTAAGAATAGAATCTGTAACACACTGTACCTCAAAATAGCTCCCTGTAAAACCCATATGCATCATTCATATATAGTTGTCATATTTCATACAAAGCATGCCATGTACGATATCATATGAAAGGTCATGATTTGCTGAAACCCCTTGTTCTTTCCAAATATGTATATTGTTAGTGTGTATGAAGTTATGAGATTTTGCTGTATGGTTGTTATTGAAATATGCTTTAAATTTGCTAGTGACATACAAAGAACTTCTCCCCACCCCACCCAGGAGGGTGTTCAATGATCATTAATAAACAGGGGAGTTGTAATTAAGGGATTTACACTTCAATGAGGGCTGCCCAAGCATCACACAATGGGGACTGCTCCACTCTCTGACTCAGTTGCACAAGACCACCAGGGGGATTGCTCAACCCAGTGACTCAGCAAAGCCCATCAGGGCATGTCCAGGCCAGTGTCTTCTAGGCACATGGACTGAGGGTATAAAATAAGGGACATTGGCATCATTCCTTGGCCTTTTTCATCCCTCACCTACGCTGGAAGCAACAAGAATGCTGGGAAGACGAAAACTTTAACTGAGGAGACTGGTCCCAGGCTTCAGGGAGAAGCCTGTGTATTAAGAACTGTAACATCCAGTGGGATGAGAAAATTGTTTGATCTAAATGCTGCCTAGGTAATAAGGTTTAAGATTCAGACAGTGCGCTTACCTTTTATTTTCTTTGGTAACTATCTCTAACCTCTTATGCCTACCACGTATAATCACTAAAAAAAGCTATCTTTCTGTAGTTAATAAACCTGTTTTATATTTTACCTAAAACAATTTGGTTTGGTTGAAGCGCTCAGGAAATCTCCGCTCAGGTACAAAGACTGGTGCATGTCCTCTCCGCATTGAGGGAGGGGCGGACTGGGTAATAAACTGAAACTGGCCAGGCTTCTGACCAGGGCAAGATGGTATCATTCTGGTGTGCAAGGCTGGAGAGAATTGGCTGGTGCCCTTCTCTGTGTGATTCATGAGTGGCTCAAGGATCATTCATGCAATCTAGCTGTGTGTGGGGGGGGGGCGGTGTCTTTGAAAAAGTGCCTTTTAGGGAATCCCAGTTTTTTTTAACTCAGAATTCTTTACGTGGCAGGAAAGCCGTGTTCTAAGCAACTCTGAGCTGGTGGGAATTTTCCACATGCCATCTGCTTCATCGCCACCCTCTGCCCCGGCTCCTCCTCCTGACCTTTCAATGGCCGACCAGATCTTCAGCCCATCATCCCTGTAGTAGTAATTGGGGATGCAGTCAACCCCGCGCTCTTGGATGTCATCAGGGAAGCAGAGGGAGGTGTAGGTCAGGCAGGACATGCCCTTGGCCATCAGCACCTTGGTCCCCTCGAGCCCCGAGCCCATGGCCTGGGAAGGGACCAGAGACAGAGCCTTCAACCTCTGAGCCACTGGACCAGGAGGTGGGTTAGAATGAAATACCGCCACGATCTATTTCAGCACAACACAACGACGGACAATACACCCCATAACAAATGTGCCTCTCCGATGTTTCGCTTTGAAACCTCCAAGGACAGAGATATTACACCCTCCCTTGCCTGCCTGCCCTTTAGAGAGAGAAAGCTTTTCCTAATATTTAACCTAAATCTCCCTTGTTGCAGATTAAGCCCATTACTTGATTTAGCCTGTTAGAATCATAGAATCATAGAAGATTAGGGTTGGAAGAGACCTCAGGTGGTCATCTAGTGCAAGCCCCCGCTCAAAGCAGGATCAACCCCAACTAAATCATCCCAGCCAGGGCTTTGTCAAGCCTGACCTTAAAAACCTCGAAGGATGGAGATTTCACCACTACCCTAGGGAACCCATTCCAGTGCTTCACCACCCTCCTAGTGTAATAGTGTTTCCTAATATCCACCCTACACCTCCCCCACTGCAACTCGAGACCATTACTCCTTGTTCTGTCCTCTGCCACCACTGAGAACAGTCTAGATCCATCCTCTTTGGAACCCCCCTTCAGGTAGTTGAAGGCAGCTATCAAATCCCCCCTCACTCTTCTCTTCTGCAGACTAAATAACCCCATTACTTCTTGTCCTGCCTTCAGCAAGACCAGAGAACAATTGATCACCATCCTCAACAGGGGAGTGGGGGCTAGTGGTTAGAGAAGAAGGAGCTGGGAGCCAGGACTCCTGGGTTCTCTCCCTGGCTCTGGGAGGGGAGTGGGGGCTGGTGGGTTAGAGCAGGGGGGGCTGGGAGCCAGGACTTCTGGGTTATCTCCCCAGCTCTGGGAGGGGAGCGGGGTCCAATGCCCCTGACTATGGCATCCTCTCACCTTTTCAATGATCCCTCCGCGTCTGAGTAGCAGGGTCCTGGCCAGGACATTGATGTGCAGCGTGTAGCGGGTGTGGGGCAGCAGCAGCTGGGGGGCAAGAGACACAGGAGTGGGTGAGGATAAGCAGGCAGCCACCCCCCACCCCAACTCCTGCACGTATCCGGGGAGGGGCAAGGACCCGGCCCCGGCCCCTCCAAGAACCCTTCTCCCCGTCATCCAGGAGGTGGGGGATGTGCTGGACCGCGATGGGTAGAATGCAGCCGGCAGGGGCAAGCCCAGCCTGGCACGCCGGGCACACACAGCCCACCGGGCACACGCAGGTGCGGCTGGGCACAGCTGGATGCTGGCAGTGGGGCCCCTCTGGCACACTTCCCCTTCTGGGCTCTTCTCTCCCACACATCTGGGCACAGCTGGCCCCCGGCCCCTCTCTCACCTTGAAGAGCGGGTGGCACATGGGCAGCTGGCGCAGGGTGGCCAGGGCGAAGGCCTCGTCAATCAGGTGGGTGAGCAGCAGGTGGCTGACGGCCTCATGCACCAGGAACTCAGCGTAGCGCACCCAGGTCTTGGCCAGGATCCAGTCCCACTCGGAATCGCTGGGCAGGAAGATGGGGCTGTCGGGGCCTGGGCATTGGCTGAGCTGTGCGGGGGTGGGAGAGAGACACAGGAGGATTGGGGGGCCGGGTTGGTGCAGGCCGGGGGTGTGAATCCTGCTGCTTCCCCAGGGGAGCCCAGGGGCTGGGACCCAGCTGCCAGGATGAGGGGACATGACGGTACAGCAAATCCAGTGTTAGGAAGAGGAGACACACAGCTGGGGTGTGTGTACACACACGCAGGCACACACAGAAGTGTGTGGGGGCATTAGGGAGCTAGGACTCTTGGGTTCTCTCCCCAGCTCTGGGAGAGCAGTGGAATCTAGTGGTTATAGCAGGGCAGGGCTGGGAGCCAGAAATCCTCGGTTCTCTCCCTGGATCTGGAAGGGGAGTGGGGGATAGTGAGTTAGAGCAGGGAGGCTGGGAGCCACGACTCCTGGGTTCTCTCCTGGGCTGGTCCCTTAGATGGCAATGCCCAGCCCTGGGACTGTGTAGGGGTCAAGGCTGTGTGGGGGCGCCAGGGGCTGTTACCTGGATGGCCACGGGGACGAGCTCCCCGGAGGGCTGCAGGTGCAGCAGGCAGAGGGGCGCGGCGATGTACTGCTGGTAGCCGTTGATCGTGTTGGCCGGGACGCCCTCCAGGATTTTATAGTCAGCGAGGAAGATGTTCCCCTTCTGCAAGGCACAGGGAGAGGAGAGCAGAGTGCGTATCCGCGGGTGCAGAGCGGGGACCCCGGGGCATAGGGGAAAGCTGGGATGCTAGTGCTGTGAGCGTCCACACAGCAGTGCCCTCTCCCAGCGTTGTGACCTTCCACACAGCAGTGCCTCTCCCAGCGCTGTGAGCCTCCCACAGAAGTGCCCTGGGACTAGCCCCTGGAGCCGAGTGGCCAGTGTGAGCGCAGCCACTGGCTCTGGAGTAGGGCCAGCTGGACACCTCTGACCTGTGGCTGCTCATGCCTAGAGTGACGCTGGGGAGGGAGCCAAGAGCTCAGACGTGGCGGAGTCCCCCCAGGGGTGTCCCCGGCACCCCACTTACCTCCAGCTCGTCCTGCAGGCTGGTGCTCTCCCCCAGGGAGGAGGCCACCATTGCCGGTGTGACAGGGAAGTTGCAGGGGAGCTCTGTGCAGCGCCGGATCACCATCGGGTGGACCCCGTTCAGGAACTGGTACCCGAAGAACGTGTCCTCTCGCCAGTGCGCCCGCACGTACTCTGGGGGGACACAGGCAGGGCACCCACATGGTTAATGTGCTCTGTCGGGGCTCAGGGGAGCCGGGTTTGAGTCCTACCCTAGGTGCCTGGGGCAGCTTTCAGCGTCTCTCGGGGCCATGGCCTCCCCCTACTGGAGAACGGAGCTAACGGTCCAGCATGAGGGGGGGTCCAATCTCAGTGGGGGTCTGGGCAGCCCCCAGCACAAGGGGGTCCCTGAGCATGATCAGGGGGGTGTCTATACAGTGCCCGGCACAAGGGGGTCCCTGGGTGCGGTCAGGCGGGGGGTGTCTGGGCAGTACCCAGCACAAGCAGCACTGGGGTATCTAGCTGCTTGTGTCACACCCGTCCCAATCACCCTGCTCTGTGCGTGGGGGCTCCCGTGGGCCCAGGTGAGTGGGATTTGGGGGTGGGTCGGGGGGGTCACCCACCTGTGATCGGGGTCTTGTTGAAGCAGAAAACCTTGTTGATGTCGTCCAGCTTCGCCCAGGAGTTGGTGCAGCTCAGGAAACCCTTCAGCCGCAGCTCCACCTGCCTGGGGG